TATCTCGAACATTTGTTTTATGTGTCAACTAGGGCCTAGTATCACAGGTCCACACCTCGCTTTCTTTTTACTGTTAAGTGATCTGCTGGCTGCGATGAATATTTACTTACCTAATATCTTTGTTCACTGAACTGTTGTCTTTATTCGGTCAAGTTTGAGGGATTCATGCAGTTCTTATAGAGTGGTCAGCTTTTGCTATTGCTCAACATGTCGTGCCAGTCTAAGAGACAGCTCTGCCAGCTACATGCTGCCCCCTTATATTCTATGTTAACAGCTTGCGATAAGTGAGATATTAGTACATATGTTCAAAATGATAAAAAAAAATTATTGTAATTGCAGGTTTCTACTTACGCATCCGGACTCCGTGCCTCCTGCTATCGGTCCAGTGGTTAAATTGTTGCGCAACTGCGGATTGTCCACTCCCAGATTGACTTTGTATAAAACAAATGTGATTTATTCTCCGAACGCTGCTGTCTGCTTGTTAGTGGCTCTTCATGCTACGATGCAGCGACTCAATGGTTAGTGGACTTGATCTTAATTCGCAATGTCCAGTTTCATTTTTGACAGGAACTCGTCGAGATTCTCTCTGCGGTCGCAGCTTTGTCGCAGGTCTCTACTTTCTGCTTCATCAAATCAACGAATTGCAACATTTTTGGAAACTAGCAGAGCAATTTGCAAATCTACTGCTTGTTAGTAAAAATAGCAATGAAAAGCAGTTGTTACTATCTTACGCTGAGAGCGTTATTGCCTTTTCATAGAAATTATTACGTTTTCACTTATTAAAATGAACGCTCGCAGTGTTCCGCCCTTCTGGAGACTAGTCAAAGAGTTACTCGCATGAAACCACGAGACTTGCCACCACTTTTCACATCAAGCATTAGCTAAGATGATAAGTATTCACTTAAGCCCACCTCAAGGGTTTCTCCAAACATCCGTTTATTATCCTTCACTTGCTGCTTATCCACGGATTTGATCATCTGGTTCTACAGGTTGTACATATCTTTGCTTATAATAAAGTGCTAAGTTTGTTTGTATGTGTATGTGTTTTCATGAAATTAGTTCATTTCTCCTAGGAAAGTCTAAGAGCAGTTATCAATCGTTATCAT